AAGCGAGCGTGCGCATCACGGGTCTGCCACTGGGAACGCAGAGTGCTGTCAGCAGACGAGTCAGGGGCAGTGACATGGCCTAGGGCGTGGTCGTACAGTGAGGTATCTTCCTTGGCAGTGAGCTGTAGGAACAGGTGCAGGTCATCTAGCCAGGTTTCGAACTTCACTGGACGGCCCTCGGCATCGAAAGCTAGAACGGGAGGACTAGCCATAGTGACAGGATCAGTAGCAGTAGTAACAGTAGTAGTAGGAATCAGGCCGCTGGAAAGGTGTGCGGAGGGTCAACGGGGCCGGCGGGGCCGCTAGGTAAGGCGCGGGCGGGGTCGACTGTCCGTAGTGGCACACGAGCGGCAGTAGTAGGTAGCGTGGCAGCAGGAGCTGCAACGGCGCACTGGTGGCAGCTGCAGTGGCAGCAGTGTGCGCGGTAGGTAGAAAAAAAAACTGTGAGAGCGAGTGCCTCGCGGCGGCGGCTGCAGAAGCGCACAGGCGGCAGCGGCGCACGGGCAGCGGCGGCGCACTGGCAGCGGGAGCGTAGGGGCAGCGGCGGCGCACGAGCAGCGGCGGCGCTCGGGAGGCAGCGGTGCGCAAGCAGCAGCGGAAGCAGCGGCGTACGAGCGGCTGCGGGCAGCAGGGCGTGCGCGAGCAGTCGACGGGCGGCTGCGGGGCGTGCGCGAGCAGGCGACGGGCGGCTGCGGGGCGTGCGTGAGTAGGCGACGGGGCCGCGGGGCCGCGAAGTGGGGCGCGAGCGGTGCGCGGGCAGTGCGCGGGCGGTGCGCAGGCGGTGCGCAGGTTGCACGGGCTTAGCGCGGGCTGCGTAAGCGGTGCACGGGGCGGCAGCGGGCCTGAAGGGGCGATCGCGGGGCCGACTAGGTCGCTAAGGGGCGAGCGGCGGGTCGATCGCGGGGCCGACGGGGCCGTACGAGGCGGTGCGCGGGGCCGTAAGGGGCGGTGCGCGGGGCCGTAAGGGGCGGTGCGCGGGGCCGTAAGGGGCGAGCGCGGGGCCGTAAGGGGCGAGGCCTTAAGGGGCGGCGCGGCGGGGCCGTAAGGGGCGAACGCGGGGCCGACGGGGCTTAAGGGGCGGCGCGACGGGGCCTTAAGGGGCGGGTCGCGGGTCGCTAGTGCTTAGGGGCCGAAAAAAAAAGTCGAGGCGCCCTAGGTAGGTAGGTAGGTAGGGAGTTAGGTAGCGGTGGGCCCTTAAAAAAAAAACGGTCCTAGCGAATGACCTGCTCTGAAACCATGTCGGAACAACAGACTGGAATGATGAACTAGAAAGGATTGTGAGTACAAATATGAAACCCTAATGTTGTGACCCCCCTACAGGCTAACCCACTACAGCCTACACAAATATAACATATACAATGTTTGACAGAGGGCTGGCGAGAGGAGAGTAGATTAGGAGGCGACGACTGAAGCTGCAGACACACGGGCAACAGACGGCTCTGGTGCGACACAGTGGCTACCGGGAATGAGTGCCCCGGAGTACAGGAGTAACAGGCTCCGCGGCTAATACGCGCGACAGGAGCAACGGACCCACAGGCGACGGCGCAACCGGCTCTCTGAGCTACCGGGAATGAGTGCCCCGGAGTACAGGCGCTGCGTACGACACGACGGCAACCTCCGCTCAACCTCCCCCAACAGTCCCACACCCCTCGACACACACCCCCTGCTTCAAACCCTAGCTCCACTCCCACGGTACCCCCCTTAAACCCCAAACCCTAGGCTCCCACACACCACCCCCCTCAGCGGCAGCTGTAGCAGAGGGAGACGAGGGAGGAGGAGGAGCAGGAGGAGTAACTCACAACCGACACCCCCATAGCCGCCACCCCCACACTCCTCACCCCCAAACCCTAAAACGGGCGGAACGGGGGAAGGAGCGCGGGGGACGGCGAGGGGGACGGCGCGCGGCCCCCAGGACGCCACCACGGGGCAGCGAGGGGCCGCGCGCGGCTCCTTAGGGCGCCGCGAAGGGGCAGCGGGGGGTCGCGAGTGACGGGAACGGGGGGGCCGCGAGCGATGGGAACGGGGGCCGCGGGCGACGGGAACGGGGGGCCGCGGGCGACGGGAAATCGGGGCAGCAGGGGGTCGCGCGCGGCTCCCCAGGGCAGCGGGACGGGAAATCGGGGGCGCGCGGGGGTCCCCCACGGTAGGAAACCGCCGCGCGTCCGGGGCGCACGGCGGGTAGGGAAACCGCCGCACGCCCCGTACGCGCGGCGGGATGAAAAATCCGTCGCACGCCACGGGGCGTGCGACACAAACAGTAGTAGGAGCAGCGGAAGACTGAGGTGGTGGGGCCCACCCACAGGATCGACCCAACTGGATCGTCCTGCTCTGATAGCATGTCGAGATAGTAAGCACGATGAGGAGCCATAGCTAGGGTTGACCTAGCTAGGCAAGAGAGAATGAAGCAAAGGAGAGGGTTGCACTAGCAACAATGGTGGTACAAATAGCTAACCCTAGAAGGGTTGTACTCGCTATAGAGCACCCCACTGCAGGCTAGAGCATAATATTCTGACAAGAGAGAGAGAGAGAGAGAGAGAGAGAGAGAGAGAGAGAGAGAGAGAGAGAGAGAGAGAGAGAGAGAGAGAGAGAGAGAGAGAGAGAGAGAGAACGAGAGAGAGAGAGAGAGAGAGAGAGAGAGAGAGAGAACGAGAGAGAGAGAGAGAGAGAGAGAGAGAGAGAGAGAGAGAGAGAGAGAGAGAGAGAGAGAGAGAGAGAGAGATTTCAAAAGATTGGGAATTAGGTTCTCAGCACGAGCAATAAAACTAGAAGGAACGCGTTCAGGCTAACAAAGAAAAGATAACCATGGAAGAAAACAAATATGTAACAAGAGAAACGAATGGTGGAAACAAACGAGGTGCAAGAGAAGTTCATGGCTAACAAAAAAACTAACGTTAAGATCAAGATGGAAAGAGGAACGGGTAAGAAAAACAGATGAAAGGCGAAAGGAAAGGAAATGAAATAAATAAACGCACCTAGCTACGAACTCACCGAGATATGCCTAAACCGTGCATAGTTGAATGCGAACGAACGTTGAACGACATTTAAAACTGAAAGACACAAATCTAGTGAAAGACCTAAAGCTAAAGTATCTACAACAATTCTAGAACCTAAGCCTTAAACAACATGCGGCCAATACTATGCTAAACGACTACGATATGAGACCAAGAAATGGTAGTCTAGCGTGTAATGATCTAATTTGGCTCAAAATGATAAGTTAGGGTGGTTCTTACCTTGCACTAGTAGGTGGAGCGTGTTTGGCGGGGAGCTTAACTAGGGAGAAGGAGCAGCGGGAGAAAAAAAGGACGAACAAACCCTAAGGGAGTCTTGGATTCATCGCAAGAAACATTGTAGTATATTTTGCGTGGCACACAACGCTCGTCGGTGCTGTCGCTGTCGACTTAGAAGTGAGGCTGGATTCGTAAGGTCTAGTTCGATTCCAGCTGATGCGAAATTTTGAATCCTTGCCGAATTTTGTCCCTCTTAGTGTCATACTACAGCAAATGTACAGAATTAGAAGCTGTACAAATTTATGTAATTAAGCAAAAAGCTTCGCAACCCTAAAACGATCTAGTCGACTCTTGTTTTTTTTTTTCTTATGAACAGTTGTTTGGTCAACTCTTTGGTAGAACATTTCTCTCGTCAATCTTTTGCGACGACCTTCGTCAGGTAACACGCAAAACCCCATTTTGCAAATCGGAAACGCTTGGTCGCCCAGAAATATGGAGTTGCGATGGTACACGAATAGCGCCGAATTCGTCAAACACCGTAGTGCATACACCCTATTTGCGATAATTTCACACCCCCTAATTCACACCGCGCTTCGTTGACTTCCGCAAGGCCTTTGGGCTGCCAAGCTGGCGAAGCGTGGTTGAACATGACTGAATGAAAATGCGAGATTGAAGCCTTTTTATACCCCCAGGAGTGGGGTGGGACGGGATTGCTGGGTTCAATATAGGTCGCGTCTAATTTCGAAACAGGTACATTGGTTTCAGTTTGAGTTTCGTTTTATCTTGTCCCTAAAAATAGCGAAGGGGACTGTGCTACACTTTGGGAACCAACCTGGAACCCCAGAATGACGAGGGGATGGGTCCTTATGTTTCGATGGGGACAGGACTTGATTCTGATTGGTTCGGATAGAGGTAACGCTAATCGACGTGCTCAACTCTCATTGGGGAAGAAAATTCCAACAAATTTCAAAAATAGTCCATGTCAGCACAAAGTGCTAATTCCGTCAACCCATTCCTGCATCTCGGAGCCTAGTCAGCACAGCCAAATCGCGGCTAGTGTGAGAAATTACTAGGAACTTTTTTTACCCGTATAATTTCACACCCTCTCAGGCTTCTTTTTACGCGGTTCGGGATTGGGGGGGTGTGAAATTGTCGAGAACAGGATGTTGTTGGATTTTAGCACGTTACTCACAGCAACACCAGGTCGCTTGTCGCGTGTTTCTCCTGACGTCGCCACTTCTTGTCCTATCCGCGAGGTCCTAAATGTGGGGTGACCAACGAGGATCTTGAAGTCTTCCTTCAGTCGTAGGCTTTTACCACCCTCACTTTCGCGATTTCATCGCATTCCCTCGGGAAGTGGTCAGAGCCAATGACCAAATGAATTGGAGATGAGAAGGCCGCAAGAGCGCCAGTCATTCCCTCGTCCATAGAAGTGATGGCAAGACGCTCGATATTCACCATACGCTAACCCTTTGATTCCATGCTCTTGCAGCAGCTCCAAATAGCACTCATGCAAGAAACATCCGGTTTGTTACAATACAATGCACCAAAACATGGATACGTATCGTTCAACCATGCGTGTCACGCATTAGGGATACGTGAACCGGGTTCACAACGTAACACACCCAGATGAATCGTTGAAGCACGCTTCACCAGGGATACATTAATCCCCACATCCCCCACGACCACACAACTTCTCTTAGTAACAGTTCGGTTGATGCCCAACCTGCACCACCTGCACTGTGCACTTGACCTATTTCTCATTCAGATGTTCTACCCAACCTGAGTTCTCTGAACAATTCCAGCTTTGTCCACGAAGACGCGAACGCGATCTTCTCGAAAATCCCCGGTAATCATGGCCCCACTCGGAATGACGGCAACGTTCCACTGCGGTGCAGAGGCCTGGATGTACTTTCGTGCCTCCTCTCCCTTCATCCCCACCACCTCGGAAAAATCAAAATTGCTGCGAAGCAAGGGAGGAAACAACTTGATTTACAGAAAATAACATGAATGGAAAATCACAAGGGTATCCGTGCAGAAAAACGAAGATGAAATAGAAAGAAAGAATGAATGATACCTTGTATCTCCAAGATTGCCATCGCCCTGAGCAGGAGCAGGCTGCTGCAGTTGCTCCTCCTTCCCCTGCTTCTTCTGCTCCTGCTGCTTTTTCGGACGCCGCTGCTTCTTCCACAGATTTAACATAATCCGTCTAGCCACCTGTCTCAGATTCTGAACCTGCTGCTCCGGCTGTAGCAGTTTGCGCTGCAGAGGAGCTTCTCGTCGGACGAGCAAGAGAACTCGCGGCGCGCCTGAATAGCCAGGCGCGTGAAGCGATTGCCCGATCAAAGATTGACGTTCGAGTCTGACTGTGCGAGGGAGTTTGGAGAGAGAACTGGTTGAAACCCATCGGAGACCTGGGTCGGGTGATCCGGGCGTGGGGGAAGTGAAACAAGCAAAAAAAGAATACAAACAGCGAATTCGCGAAGAACGCGGTATAGATTCCCCGCTAATCTCCTCATATATCGTCTCGCTTTGGCGATATAAACGCCTCTTACCCTGATCTTTCTCGTCATGAGTGGTTAGAAGTCGTCGCGCCCGAGCTCCTTCGCTGTCCTGCGGTCCGCAAGACAAGGCCAGCACGAGGACGAATCCTAGCAACATACTGACGGAAAGCTTAATGGCTCGGAGTTGGTTGAAGTTATAGTAGACAAAGAGATTTTGCGCAGTCTATTTCAGATTTACGAGTCTAAAACACATAAGCTGAGGATGGTTTGTGGGAATCTGTCTTGCAAGTGCTGTCTTTCAGTGAGCATTTGCTGTCAAAGGGTTTTGAGGTGTGTGTTCTGCCTACCATAGCCACCATGCAAATCTGTGAGCCAAGCCTATTCTCCAATCTGATTCTGATTCCAATAATGCAATGCTTTTCCTCCAATCACAGCATCCAAGACGCGGTGTAATGAATAATGAAAGATGCGCCGCGGGGTGCTTGACTCACGGAAGTCATTTTCGTTTTTTCGCGAAACAAAAACAGCTGCACCAAAGGTTTATTGTTTTCGCCCAGATTCAGTAACACTTAGGTGGGTGTTCGGAAAAAATGGCAAGGGCGCCGCGACATAGTTCACTTCAATCCAACCACCTCAGAAGTACACCCCATTTTGTTATAATTGTCAGAGTACTACCCCTTAGGAGGGTACAGAACTTTTGCTGGAATTATTAAGACGATTGCTTCTATTTCGCTATTGACATGGTTATCAGGCCTAAGAGCACCACATCATCAAATTTCATTGGGTGGCTAAACTGGGGCTGCCAATTTTAAAGCCGGCAGCCCAAACTGCACAAGTTTTAAAAGGTTGACGCGAGGGGGTTTTTGTGGTGAGGGTTTTGGCGAAAGATTCCGATTTCGCTTTTTTCGTTTTTTTTCGCCAAACCCAGCCCGCCCTCGTATTTCGCCCTGGGGGTTGGTTCAGTTCCCAAAAGTCCCAAATTGCAGGCACGCTTTTCTTCAAACCTTGAAAACACTAGTTCGTCAAGTTTTAAAAGCTTGACCCGCGCGGCCCGCAATTTGGGACTCGGGCTTTAAACAGGCACCCCACTTATTATGTTGCACCACTTTCATCAAATCCCTTCAATTGCTTTCTACCTTGGCCATCAACCATGCTTCCATGCAGCAAGGCTTGCACGCCAAAGAGAAGAAACAGCACACCACCACACAGTGCAACCTGCAGGCAGCACAAGCAGGGTAGAAAGAGAAAGAGGCACGCCCACGAGACATAGCCATGAAAGCATGACACAGGGAAAAAGGATTGGATGGATCCAGGCCCTGATAACAAGTGCCTGTAACGACTCTCCAACCTTTTGTAACAGGGCCTTTAGTATATTGGTTCAATCTTGCTTGTACTATCCTTGTTCAACTCTTTTTCCTTAGTGAAATGCTTGAGTTCTGCTAAGTCAAAGACAACTGTCAAGGACAACAGCCTGATTCCTACCCACGCGGCATCTAGCCCGCCTTCCCTCCGATAAGATAGATTTCTCCGCAATTCTAACACTCACATTAAGCATTAAAACACGCTCTACCGGGGGTGCATCAATTCCCTTCCCACATCTCACGACCACACAGCTGCCCTTGAAACAGTTCGGTTGCGGCCAAAATACTGAATGATATTCGCACTGTGCACTAAAAAGTAGATCATATATTGGAATTCTACCCAACCCTGGTTCTCTGAACAATACCAGCTTTGTCCACGGAGACGAGAACACGATTTTCTCGGAATTCCGTGGTGATCATGGCTTCACTCGGAATGATGGCAACGTTCCACTGCGGTGCAGAGGCCCGGATGTACTTGCGTGCCTCCACTCCCTTCATCCCCACCACCTCGGGATAATCATAATTCCTGTGAAGCAAGGGAGCAAACAACGTTTTACCGAAAATGCAGGAATGGAAAATCGCAAGGTTATGTATGCAGACAAAAACTAAGACGGAAAAATAAAATATAAGATTTGTACCTGTATCTCCAAGCATGCCATCCCCCTGAGCAGGAGCAGGCTGCTGCTGTTGCTTCTCCTTTTCCTGCTTCTTCGGATGCTGCTGCTTCTTCCACAGAATCATCCGTCTCGTCACCTGTCTCAGATTCTGAATGTGCTGCTCCAGCTGTTGCAGTTTGCCCTCCAGTGGAGCATCTCGTCGGACGAGCAAGAGAACTCGCGGTTCGCTTGAATAGCTAGACGCGTGAAGCACTTGACCGACCAGGGATTGGCGTACGACTCCGGCTGTGCGAGGGGGTTGGGGAGAGAACTAAACTTTGAGATACGTATTAACCTCAGAGATCTGGGGCGGGTGATACGGTTGTGGGGCAAGCGAAGCAGGCAAAAAAGAAAACAAACAGCGAATTCGCGAGAAACGCGTATTCGATTTCTCCCCTAATCTTCTCACATCTCGTCTCGCCTTGCCTTGGCGACATGAACGCCTCTTACCTTGATCGCTCTCCTCATGAGTGGTTAGTAGTCGTCGCGCCTGTGCTCCTTCGCTGACCCGCGGTCCGCAAGACAAGGCCAGCACGAGGACGAATCCTAGCAACATACTGACGGAAGCTTACTGGCTCGGAGCTAGTTGAAGTTCTAGTAGACCAAGAAATTTAGCGCACTGTCGATTTCAGATTTACGACTGTAAAACATATAAGCTGAGAATGATTTGTGGAGAATCTGTCTTCGCGAGTGCTGCCTTTCAGTGAGCATCCCGTCGAAGGTGTGCGTGTTCGGCCTACCATAGAATCCCCCAATCAGACCCGGATTCCAATAATTGCAATGTTTTGCTCCAATCACAGCATTCCAGACGCGGTGAAACAAATAACGCAGGGTGCGCCGCGGGGTGCTTGGTGTATGGAAATAATTTCGCCTATTTGCGCCACAGTCGCCACGAGAGTATACTAGTTTCGCCCAAATTCAGTAACACAGGTGGGTGATCAAAAGATTCGGCAACGGACGCAGCGACATGGTTTACTTCAAACCAATAATCTCAGGTACACCCTATTTCGTTATGATTGTGAGAGTACTAACACTGTTTTTAGACCTGTTTAATTGCGGGTATATTTAAAAAAAATTGCTTCATCTCGAGATTGACATGGTTCTCATTTCACGGGCCAAGGAGCACTTATTGCCACAGCATCATTTTTCATTGGGTGGCTAGACTGAGGCTGCCAACTCTCTGTTTAGGCAACCTATTTTTAACAGCAATTTATACAGGAACTCAAATTCATCCTTCAATTGCTTACTCTTTTAGCCACCCACTTCAAGCAACCATGCTACCATGCAGCAAGGCTTGCACGCCAAAGAGAAGAAACAGAACACCAGCACACAGTGCAACCTGCAGACAGCACAAGCAGGGTGGCAGAAGGGAAAGAGGCATGCACACAAGCCACGGCCATGAAAGCATGGCACAGGGAAAAAGGATTGAACGAATCCAGGCCCTGATAACAAGTGCCTGTAACGACTCTCCAACCTTGTGCAACAGGTCCTCAACGGGTGACCTGAACCATGATACCGTACCGGTAGCGTAAACCATTGCCAATACACAAGTGGTGAAACACATCCAGACGCTACAAAGAATGTGATGCCCTCACAGAAGCACAGCAGCACCAGCCCTGCTGTCCATAACCCTCCCACCCAACCATTCCCTCTCCCTCCTTGCTTTCACTCTCTCTCCCTCGCCCACCCACTCGCTCGCTCCTCCCAAAGGCTCCTCACCGTGCGCTCTGATATCCGAGAGGCCAGATGCCGGCCCCCAATCACTGCTGCACCCGAGCACACCGCATGGCCTCTGGCACGGAGGCACACAGCGGGAGGGGAGGGGGAGTAGAGTGGGAGGAAGGGAGGGGTGGAGAGGAGGGGGAGGCAGGGACAGGGGAAAGGGGGGAATGGAGAGGCAGTGACTCCATGCTGGCATTATGTGTTGGTGGTGAAGAGACACAGCAGCGTTAAGCAATGATGTAAGGATGGCTGTGGGGCAGGACAGAAGTATCATGAGCGTGAAGGCATATAGAGGGCCAGAAGCACGTGGGAGAGGAGGGGCTAGGGACGCACAGGCAACCGCCAAGGGCAACGCCCCACACGCTGGCCTCTGATGCTAGACCTATTGTTGCCAGCTGCTCACATGCACCCATGCACGCACATGCACATACCCAGACATTCCCCATACACACACACACACACCACAAAAACACGCATGAGGAGACATGAAGGCAGTGTGAGGAGGTGTGGATGAGCTAAGCAAGAAGCCATGGAATGGTGTTTAAGCAGGGAGTAAGGCAGCTGAGAGAAGCAAGTATGACACGCAAACACGTTTCCCTCCTGCCCCATGGGCAGACAAATCCACAAAGGACGGCCCCCTATGCCCACCCCAGCATGTCACACGCATACACGTTCCCCTCTGCCCCTACCGCTCACCTGGCTCTTGTCGCCCCACTCCCCGAGAAACACGAGGGAGAAGGCCTGCAATGGGGCATGAGTGAGAACAATGGAGGGAGGGAGCAGTATGCTTGTTTGCACTGTGGTGGGTTCACGAGCAGTGGCCACACAGGGTACTGCTTTGAGAGAAAAAATGCCTCTTACTCCTCTCACGCCTCTTACTCCTCTCACGCCTCTTACTCCTCTCACGCCTCTTACTCCTCTCACGCCTCTTACTCCTCTCACGCCTCTTACTCCTCTCACGCCTCTTACTCCTCTCACGCCTCTTACTCCTCTCACGCCTCTTACTCCTCTCACGCCTCTTACTCCTCTCACGCCTCTTACTCCTCTCACGCCTCTTACTCCTCTCACGCCTCTTACTCCTCTCACGCCTCTTACTCCTCTCACGCCTCTTACTCCTCTCACGCCTCTTACTCCTCTCACGCCTCTTACTCCTCTCACGCCTCTTGCGCCACTCACCTGGGTGGTGGTCCCTCCCATCGGCACACCTGGTGCCCTGCCCCATGCACTCACACACCTCCGCTATGCTTCGCTGTGCTGTGCCGTGCTCGGCTCTGCTGTGCTGTGCTGTACTGTGCTGTGCTGCGCTGCGCTGTGCTGTGCTGTGCTGTGCTGTGCTGTGCTGTGCTGCGATGTAAACACACTCCCTCTCTCCCATACAGCACACGTGCCATACACAAACGACTGCAAATGAGGCCGCAAAAAGGAAAGGGCGAAGGTCCCAGTCACAGAGTCACAGATGGTGCGCTGCATGCAGAGGCGAGCGAGGGAGAACAGGAGCGGGGTGGGGTGGGGTGGGGTGGGGGAGGGGTGACCTGCAGGAATGCAGGGGAGAAGAAGCGTTGCAGTGCCAGCCTCTGCGCCTTGCGGTGCTTGCTCTCCTCCTCGCCCTGCGTCCCCACCCCGTTCATGCTCCCCTCGTGCTGTCCCCCATTCACCCCGTTGCTCTGCAAGAAAGAAGCGCACGGGAGGAGGAGGCGAGGAGTACATGAGGAAAAAGCACTCTGCTAATGAGATATGAAATCATGACCTGTGCGTTTTTATGGAGCGGCGGACGACGCCTAGCGAGATGGCGCCTAATGCATAGGGTTAAATGGTTCAGGACCTTGCATTGAGATGCTGGTGCTGTAGCCGCGGCAGCTGCTATGCTGGCCTTGTCCTGCGCACAGCACAGCAGGTGGTGAAGGGACGGACAGGCAGATAGAGCAGGATCATGTGCAGGGGACCTGGGTTCGGATGATGGCGTGTGCAGGGGACCTGGGTTCGGATGATGGCGTGTGCAGGGGACCTGGGTGCAGCCATGAGAACGGATGCAGAATGAGCAACGGGGAGGGACAGCGGCAAGAACAATGCAGCAGCCAACAACAGCAGAAAATAAGCAGCAGCAGCAGCAGCGGCGGCGGCAGCAGCAGGTGGGTATGAGCGCGTACCAGTTCTTGCTCCACCTCCTTTAGCTCATCTGATGCCCTGCAGTGCCATGGCGCAGGGGGTAAGCAGAGGCACGAGGCACAGGGCAGGTGGACAGGGGTGGACAGGGGCAGGGGAGAACAGGTGCAGGGGAGAACAGGTGCAGGATGGGGCAGGGGACGCAGGGCGAGAAGGGGCAGTGGCGTGCATGGGCAGGTAGTGGAGATGGAAAAACGGGGCAATAGGGGGAAGAACGGGCAAGAGGTTGAGGGGGAGTGGGGATAGAGGTTGAGGGGGAGTGGGGATATGACCTGGCAGCGTGCATAGTGAGGCCGTCCAAGAGGGAGCAACTTTTGAGGTGCCTCAAAAGGAGTGAGTCAATTGGCAAGCGCACCTGGCGGCGTCCATGGTGAGGCCGTCCCAGAGAGAGCGCAGGCCGAAGAGGAAGAAGAGCAGCGTTGTGCTCACGTGTGTCCACGCCCGGGGCAGCTGGGGGGGGGGGGGGGGGGGGAGAGTTGCGAGAGAGGGAGAGAGAGGGTGAGTTTTGAGTCGACTCAAAACACACAGGGAGCGCAGGCCGAAGAGGAAGAAGAGCAGCATCGTGCTCACGTGTGTCCACGCTCGGGGTAGCTGGGGATGGTTGTGAGAAAGGGCGAGATGGCGAAGGGTTGTGGGGACAAGCAGGGCGGAGGGATGACGAAATTACAGGGCGACATGGCATGTTGAAAACGCATGGCAGTGAGTGTGTTCGCATTTCATGCAGTGAGAGCACAGTGCAGGCATGCATGAACACACGCGAAGCTCACCAGGGAGGGAGCAGCCCAACCGAAGAGAGAGGAGAGTATCGTCATCAACTGCACCGCAAGGCACGCACCACAGCATGGCAGCATCAAATGGTAGAAACAAACCACAAAAGCAGAGTGAGAGAGAGCATGCGGGTAGTGGCTTGATGCCCATGTGCCCCACACCACATCATGATGCCCATGTACCCTTGCTCCATGTGGACATGCGTCCAGCCATACACTCATCCCCATGCACCCATGGATGCACTGGCCCCGCAGCCACAGCTTCCCTTCAAATCTCATCCCGCCCTGCATCCCCCCCTCTTCGCCCTGCCCCACGCATCTCCCCCTGCCCTGCGCAACTCCCCTCTCCCCCCCCATCTCAACCCGCCCCTTGCCTGCGCATCCCACGACCTACATTACGCATCCCACTCCCGCGCATTCTCCCCCACCCTGCCCCTTGCCCCGCGCATCTCACCCAGAGAGCAGAGAGCGAGCCGAGCAGCACCCATCGCCGCGGCTGGCGCATGGCGAGGAGCTGGGGGGCATCAGGGGGGGGGGGAGGGGGGAACGAGCACGGGGCAGAGAAAGGGGAGTATGGGGGAGAGGAAAACGGAGCGAGAGGGATGTGAGGAGGGAGAGGCGCGTGCCGGCAGGTGACGAGGAGGAGAGTTGGATCGACGGCGGACGGGCGACGAGGAAATGGGAAGGGAGGGGTGAACGAGGCCCGAGTATGGTAAACGCACACATGGCGCGTGCGACATGTGGGGGAATGCATGAGGGAAGAGCGAGGCATGGCCGGACCGTGGAAGAGGAGAGGAGGGGAGGTTGGTTGGTTTTGCAGAAGGGGCACGGCAGAATGGGCTTGGGAAAGGGTATGGGGGAGGGCATAGGGGAGGGCATAGGGGAGGGCATGGGGGAGGGCATGGGGGAGGGGCATGGGGGAGAGCATGGGGGAGGGCATGGGGAAGGGCATGGGAGAAGAGATTGGGGGAGCTGACCGCTGCGACAAAGAAGGTTTTGTCGCCGATCTCTGACACGAGGATCATGCTCCCCGCCTTCACCAACGCCTGCACACACATCGCGCGCACAAGGGGAGAACGCGGGCAGGAAAGGCGTCAGTCACGGGTCGGCGGGAATGACCAGCCATGCATGCGGCAAGGCACCGGCACGGCATTAATCTGCGCGCAAAGACGCTGCGGCGCGCGGCGCCGCGCCTTCAAGCGCAGCAACGCGGCGCTATGACACTCCCCCCCCAACACGAAATTCGCATCGGGCGGGCCGCGAGGACGCACTCACTTCTAGAAATCCCGCGTCCATGGGGAAACGTGGGGGCGGGGTGCGGCGCGACGGACGAGCGGATGGGGGATTCAGAAGCGCGCGAGGCGGCGGAAACGCCGAATCGTCACGCGAAGCACGGAACGAAGAGAAAGGCCTTGTCCGCACAACACAATTGCGAGGGCAACGCGGTTCCACGGGATCCCCTGCGCACGAAAAAGACGCCAGCAACGGCGGCGAATTCCCCGCGTGGATCCCAAGGCACGCTGCGATCTGACCGTAGCAATTACAGTCAGCAACCGACTTGCAAAGATTCCCTTGCTAGGATCTCACGTCCCCTGTCGTCTGTGACACGCCTTCTGAAGCAATTGATCTGGTTTACGTTGTAGGTAGCGGTTGCTGAGACTCTGGGAAGCGACGAGAGGATCGTGTGACACGCCTTCTGAAGCAATTGATCTGGTTTACGTTGTAGGTAGCGGTTGCTGAGACTCTGGGAAGCGACGAGAGGATCGTGTGACACGCCTTCTGAAGCAATCGATCTGGTTTACGTTGTAGGTAGAGGATGCAGACAACGGGAGGCGACGAGAGGACTGTGTGACAAGAGTGCAGATGACCGTTGCCTACACGCGACTCGCTTCGCTCGGATCGCGACGGGCACGGGCGAGGATGGACGAGAGGCAGAGAGTGATGCGCTGGTTGCGATGGCGGGAGCAGCTGCGAGTGGAAGTCAGACAGGAATGGCCGACCAGGTTTGATTCAATAATGGTACAGCGGCACTCCAAGGCAACACTGAAGTTTTGATGGTGTGGTGGTGACGTGAGGTGAGGGCGAAGTCAGGTTATACATTTCCCACGTGTTTACAGTTCTTAGATTGTGGTTCAGAACGGTCCAGCACGGTGAATAGCGTTTCTTGGCTTGTACCGCTCTGTACCGTGCTGAAACAAAGTTAACCGCAGTAGACGTACAGAAGGTTGTACAACCTGACGTCGCCCTCAGGGCGGGAAGATGTGTGGAGTGCGATGCAAGGGGAATGGGTTCTGTGGTGGTTCTGCTGGTCTTGGGATCTCCTTTCGTTTAGTTTCGTCAACCGTCGCACACCCCCGCATGCCTCCGCTTCACCACATCGCATCCCGCCACCCATGTTCTTCCCTCCCACTAAATACAGAGGTCTAAACCGGTGACATCAAATCAGAAACTGCCACGTGGAAAGTCAGGGGTTCCTTCACGAGTTCGAGAAGCCCCAGTGGTTGGCTCTCCTTGCAAATGAAATGCACATCCCAGTGCAAATTTCAGTATAAGGAAATGCACATTTCAGTGTAAATGGTGTAGCTGTTCACTATAGTCACTCCCAGTATTAAAAAACAGTGGTTATCCCTCTATTACCGCATTCGTATTTTGCTGTTTACATGACCTTCGGCTTTCTTGAACAAGCAGTTGATTTTTTGTATACGAACACCCGCTTCATTCAATACGTTCTTCAATCGAGCTTTACCTATAGTTCCCGCCTCGAGCTTCCATTTCCACGAAACCTTTCCACAGTGCGACACCCACGCCAACCTCACGAGCGCAGTTGCGTCCGCACATACGGTTACACTCAAACAGCATTTCTTTGCGCTTTGTTCGCCTGGACCTCCCAGCGCAACCCCCCTTTCCCGCGCGGGCTCCGCCGGTCCGCCATGCTCAGCCTCCCTCCCGCACCGTGGGAGGACGGCGGCTCGGCGCCCTTCTCCCCCGCGTCGCCGCCCACGCGCTCCATGGCGGCGCTTCTCGCGTCGCTGTCGCTGCAGCGGCGGTCGCGCGAGGTGGGGCTGCAGCTGCGCGCGGGGCTGCGCGACGTGCGCGCGGAGTTCAGCTACGTGCGCCTGCGCGGGCTGCGCAAGGTGGGGCTCGTGGTGGAGTCCGCGGCGGAGTCAGACGAGCTGGCGGACGTCTTCCGCGAGAGCCAGCTCTACAGCGAACTGCAGCGTGAGACGGGCGGGGAAGTGGGGTGTGTGTGTGGGGAAAGGGGGGTAAGGCTGTGGGGGTGAGGGGGAAGTGGGGGGGAAGAGGGGTCGGGCGGGGAAGGGTGTTTGGGGGGCGGGAATCGGGGCATGGGGAACGAATGGAGCAGGTGAAGACGGTTTAGTGGGCGGGGAGGTGGGAGACGCAGAGAGAAAGGGGGTTTGAGAGGGCGAGGGAGAGTGTAAGGAGGGCGGGAGTGTGGTTTCGAAGACTGGCATGCATTGACAGTTGTGGGAGGCGCACACCAACGAGCACTGTGATCCGGCGAGTAAAAGCGCTGTGAAAGTAAAGGCAGAGGGTTTGCATTTCCTCAAGAATGGCGGTGGCTCAGGTGGAAAGTGGCTCCCTCCGTCCTCCAACCCTTCCTTTCCCTGCTGCGCCATTCCCCACGCCCATCTCCCCCATGTCAACCATGCGCCCACGCGGCCATATTCCCCATGTGCGTGTGGTAGTGGTGCCAGCCATCTGTGAGCACTGCACAGGGCCCACAGATGCTCACGCCCCCCACGTCCCCCACGTTCCCCCACGTTCCCCACGTCCCCCACGTCCCCCACGTCCCCCACGTCCCCCACGTCCCCATATGTGGCTCATGTTATGTTCCTGTGGCAGTGGTGCCGGCCATCTGTGAGCACTGCATAGGGCCCAGCACGGCGGACGACGACGACGACGACGAGGGCGGGGGCGACGAGGGGCTAGCAGGGCGGGGGGTCCGGCCCATGGCGCCCACGGCGGAGGAGGTGGAGGTGGCGCTGCACGTGCTGGAGGGGTGCTGCCTGCTCGACCCCGCCACCAGCCGCCAGCTCGCTGCTTCCTACGATGTTGTTAAGGTGGGGTGGGAGCAGGGGCGTGCTGGGCGTGCTGGGAGCAGGGCGTGCTGGGAGCAGGGGCGTGCTGGGAGCAGGGGCGTGCTGGGAGCAGGGGCGTGCTGGGCGTGCTGGGAGCGAGGTGGGGGTTCAGAGCAGGGGTGTGGTGGGAGAAGGTGTGGGGTGGTGAACGTGGGTCAGATGCAGTTGACAATCCTCGAGAGGGCGTCTTTTAAATCAACACACACCCATAACAAATCCTGCTCTCAATACACTGCTCCTCCCTGTCTCCCACTCCCACCTCCACTGCCTTTCTCCCTCAACCCCCTGCACTTCCCACCTCCCCCTCCTCACCTCACCCCCCATCCCCTGGTGCGCAGGACATTCTCATTCACCTGTCGCCCATGTCGTCCACGCCGCTGGGCGACCCCCCACCGTCGCTCATGGCGTGCTGCCTCAACGCCCTGCCCGCCATCCTGCTCGCCAGCCCGCAGGCGCTCGAGGTGCGCGGGGGAGGGGAGGCGTTTGTGGAGTTGCTGGTTGTCTCTGTTGTGTGGGCCTGCTGTGCCGGGCTGTCTCTTGTTGCTCCTGGTTTTGTTAGTTTCGGTTCTATTGGCGTGCTTGCTGGTTTGGTGGTTCATGCCATGCTCGGTGCTTCCATGACGCACACACACATGCACGCATGCATGCGCACGCGCCCGTACAGGGCGACACACACACGCGTGTGCGTGCGCACACATACACACATGCACTCACACACACACGCGCTCATGCGCTCACACACATACGCACACGCACGTGCGCACTTGCCCACACGCATTTCGTTGCACAATGTCACAAACAGAGCATGGCATTGCAAGCCGCCCAGCTAACTGCCTTGCATTGTTGTGTGTCTCCTGCTCTCTTTCTCCCCTTCCGCCCCTGCTTCCCCTCCAAATGGCTCCGCTTTCTGGCGCCCATCAATCCACCTGCCATGCACGTGGTCCTCTGTGTGTGTGTGTGCGTGGCAGAGCATGGACGTGCACAAGGGCGTGCTGCATGTGGCGCCCATTGTCAAAGACCGCCAAATACCACTCTACCTCAGGTAATTCCCTCAGGTGATTCCCTCAGGTGGTTCTTTCAGGTGATTCCCTCAGGTGATTCCCTCAGGTGATTCCGTCAGGTGATTCCCTCCTCAGGTAATTCCCTCAGGTGATTCCCTCCTCAGGTGATTCCCTCCTCAGGTGATTCCCTCAGGTGATTCCCTCCTCAGGTGCTTCCCTCCTCAGGTGATTTTCTCAGGTGATTCCCTCAGGTGATTCCCTCCTCAGGTGCTTCCCTCCTCAGGTGATTTTCTCAGGTGATTCTCTCAGAAGATGTCGTCCAGAGGATGTGCCTGGGGTGTGCCTTTGATGAGTATTTTCATGTGACAATGCAGTATTTGCGGTACTCAACAGGTTATCTCTCGCACTGAAACACCTTGCAGGACCACATAAGCCCCAACGTACTGGCAGCCCAAGCTCTCTCCGTGCTGCATTGTATTCTAATTTCCACCTGCACTGCGCACACATTGCATCTGCTTGTCTCCCACATGCGCATGGTTTGCAAAACATATCGCCTGCAGAGTGCGCGTGCATATGGCACATGCACATGACACGTGCAAGTAGCACACGCACGTAGCACATGTGCAGCTCTGCACAAGTGCAGCACACACCAACGCATCACGAGAGGGAGCATAGCCCATCCATTCTCAGCCACCCCTTACACACGGGAGGCCATCCCACATAACAATCCTCACGCGCCCTCCTCCAACCTCCCTCCCACTCCCCTTCCTGGCAGAGCCAAGGCAGTGGAGTTCCTAGCACTGTTCCTGGCACAGCTGACGGACCTGGCAGCGGGGGGCGGGGGAGGCAGCACGGTGGAGGTGGCGGGCAGGTGGCTGGGAGACGCAGTGCATGACCTGGAGGACGTGGTGGGGGAGCGCGCTGCACAGCTCATAGAAGGCGTGGCCACAGGGCGAGGGGCCGTGCTGTCAGAGGAGCTGGTGGAGGAGCGCGTCACCCGCATTGCCGAGATGTTCTGATCTGAACACCTGCGGGTCTTGGGTCGCTCGCTGTCAAGCTTGGTTTAGGTTGCCAAATATAGGTGCTCCCCGTCCCGTGCTTTCAGTATACCAACTTCATGGTTCACAGCATATGTTCGAAGAATGCCATTTTGGAAGCTTGAAATCCCAGCCTAAGCCTGCCCACAACACGCCTGGGCATTCCCACCCTACAATCAGCACATCTATTCACCCCCATTTGACAATCTGCTTCTCTAACACCTCCTTCACATCGTCCACAAGCCCGGTCCACTCTCCGTCCTCTATTCCGTCCAACATTTGCCCCCGATATCTCCAGCGCAGCATTTGCACGTGGCGCCGAGCCATCGCTCTCATACGGTAGCTGGATTCACCTCCACATGTACCCATCTCTCCGTGATAAGATAACCCATCCTGCCTTCAGTGCCGCTGCTAAGCCCGTGCCGATGATGCCGCTGAAGAGCTCCAGCATTTGTATTTGTTTCTGTAGCATCTTCATATCCAGTACGCGAACTCCTTTGATTGGGTCTGTCGACCGATTCCATCTTATGCAACAAAACTTCGTAATCTTCATGGTGTGTATGTATGATGTCCTTATTTTAGATTGGTGTAGAAGCGCTTTCAAGTTCCCGCTCCGCTACCCTCATAACGGTTACAGGCGTTCCAAAATTCAGCGGTTTTGAATGTTCGAAACTTGGAGCGGCAATTCCTGCATTGCCCCCCTCACCTCCCCCCCCAACCACTTCCCCTCACCACCTCGTCCGTTTATATACCTCCCATTTCTACCAGCGGCGCCATGTCACCTCATGAAGCTAGCAGTGCTGGCATCCAATTTTCCCGAGTTTGTGTTTCCTTGTGGCATTTCGTTGTTTTGGTTGCCACGTCTCTGATCGGTACTCCTAGTTCGTTCCTCACCGTGTCGGTAGCATTTCTTGGTCGCGTTTCAGGGTCGCGTTTCCTCCTGGCACGGCTCTGGTAGGGGGGAGGTGCTATGGAAGCAGCACATACGGTAATGCCGAAAAGGGAGGCTTTACAAACGCAGAGAGAAGGTCAGCAAACGCCTTCTCCTGTTACCCCGGAGCAGCAGCAACGTCCGTCGATAGAGGGCGTACAGTTCGATTTCTTGCGGCAAAATAGGCGGCGAGAGGCAGCGCGGAAAGGCGGAGAGGCGCATAAAAGGGGAGAAACGCAGATTCTGGCGGCGAAGGGCGCAACAGCGGAGAAGGGCGCAACAGTGGAGAAGGGCGCAACAGCGGAGAAGGGCGCAACAGCGGAGAAGGGCGCAACAGCAGAGAAGGGCGCAACAGCGGAGAAGGGCGCAACATCAGAGAAGGGCGCAACAGCGGAGAAGGGTGCGAAGGCGGAGAACAGGGAAGGCGCGGAGGCGGGAGGTGGGGAAGCGAGAGAAGAGGGCGGAGGCGGAACGCATGCGTGGACGCGGCAGGCGGCCGACGTGGCGATGCGCGTGAGCGTTGTGTTGGGCGGAGGAGCGGGGGGCGGCATGATGGGCAGAGCAGCGGGGAGCGCGGAGGAGATGTCTCTGGAGCAGCTGATGGGCGTGAGCCGATGGTGCGTCCTGCGCGCCGCGGAGGTTGGGGTGACGACTCGACTGGCTGAGAGGCTTGGGGAGATGGAGGAGAGAAAGAAAGAGGAAGAGAGGGAGAAGGAGGAGGAGAGGGAGAGAGTGAGAGAGGTCAGGGAGGAAGAGAGTGAGAGAGGAAGAGAGGACGAGGATGAGGGAGGAAGAGAGACAGAGTGTGAGAGCGGAAGAAAGGAAGAGGGTGAGAGAGGAAGAGAGGGAGAGGGTGAGAGAGGAAGAGAGGGAGAGGATGAGGGATGAACAGAGGAAGAGGGTGCAAGAGGAAGCGAGAAAGAGAGAGAGCGAGGAAAAGAGGAAGAGATCGAGAGTCGAAGAGAGGACGAGAATACGAGAAGAAGAGAGGAAGCGAGCAAGAGAGGAAGAGGCCAATAAGACCATGAAGGTGGTGAGGGAAGCGACAGAAGCTCTAATAAAGGCGGCGAGGCGCAAAGTGGAGTTAAAAGCAGCGTTGAAAGAGGCAGCGAGGGCGGCGGCTGAGTTGAAGGAGGGCGTTGAGGAGAAAGTGGGAAGGATTCTGCTGCAAGCGGCGCTGCTTCGCCACTCCATGGAGGAGGAGGCGCCGCCCTTTCAAGCTGCGGCTAGAGGCAGTGCAGGGCGCAAGCGAGCTCGCATGGCGGATGGCTCTGCTGCTGCACACCGCATGAGGGAGGTGCGTGGCTTTAGGCGTACTATCACAAATGATCCGTCACATGGCCCTCGTCCTATGCCATTCCTCCTATGGCCCCAATTATCACGCCCCCATCCCGTGCCCCCATCCCATTCGGCCATCCCCGTTACCCCATCCATTCCCGCATTCCATCCCCCCGACCCTTTTTCCCATCCCATTCTTCCTCCATCGCCCACTGAATTAATTCGCCCTGCCGTCCAGCACGCGCCTACCATTCACAACTTGCCAGCCCCCTTGCCCGATCAGGCATGCAGGGGCCCTCTCATCGCTCCCCATCACTCCTCCACCGCTACCTATTTGACGTACTTATGCCTCCCCCTCCCTCCCCATGTGTTTTCCGTGGCAGCACCTGGAAACCCTTTCAGCCTATGCGGAGGCGGCGGGAGGGAAGGCCCGGGAAGTGAGGAGGAAAGTGCGTGGGCTGTGGAAGACACACGGACTGGGTGGTGGGGCGATGCAGGTTGAAGTGGTGAGGGAGGAGGAAGAGGGGAGAAAGGAGGGAGGAGGAGCGGGAGGAGCAGGAGGAGGAGGAGGAGGAGGAGGAGGAGGAGGAGGAGGAGGAGGAGGAGGAGGAGGAGGAGGAGGAGGAGGAGGAGGAGGAGGAGGAGGAGGAGGAGGGGACGAGGAGGAGGAGGAGGAGGAGGAGGAGCCTTGGCATGAGAAGACGGAGAATGCACAGGAGGAAGAAGTGTGTGATAACTATGGCTTGGTGCAGGTGAACAGTGCTGAAGCTATCTGTCCTGTCATGCAGGGGCTGTGAGAGAAAAGTGGCTGTGAGGGAATAATGCTTATGAGATGGTACTTGTGGCCTCATCACTCATCTCCTCTTGGGCGGGCGACTCTCTCACAATTCTTCCTCCCCTCCGTTCCCCCCACCACGCCCTCTCACCACTCCTTCTCTCGCCCTCACCACCGCTCACCACCGCTCTCTTGATGTTTCCACGGCGATAGACCAGCACATGGGCCAGCACATGGGCCATCACATGGGCCAGCACATGGGCCATCACATGGGCCATCACATGGACAACTCTCATGTGATGCTCCCTTTCCCCCATGCCCCTCCCCCCTCCCATCCCTTCACCTTGTCCCTCGCAGCCCCCCGCCCAGGCACGCATCACAGCAGCCAGAATTGCTGAGAAGGGGCAGATAAAAGGCAGTGGCTTAGGCGGAGGTGCTGGAGGGTGGATGGCAAAGAGGCGTGAGGGAAGGGAGGAAGGGGAGAGCAGGGCCACGCGGGCAGCACGCAGGGAAGAGAGAGGAGGTGTAGGAGTGGCAGGTGGAGTGGTTGGGAATGGGCTGCTGCATGCACGGGCAGCGCAAGTGGGACAAGGAGCACACGGGGCACACGGGGCACACGGGGCACACGGGGCACACGGGACACACGGGGCACACGGGGCACACGGGACACACGGGGCACACGGGGCACACGGGACACACGGGGCACACGGGGCACAAGGCATGGTGCTGGAGGGTGCAGGGGTGGGGCCTACTGTGGCTGTGCAGGAGACTCCACAGGAGCGAGCACGGCGGGAGCAAGCAGAGCTGGATGGAAAAGAGGCCGAGGTGATAGACTTCCTGATGAACCACAAGGGACCAGCATGGGATCTCACCGTCTCAAGCGACAACCCCATTTTCAGTGACAACCCCAATCACAGCCTCTACCTTCTCCTCTCCTCCGGCCCCTCCTATCGGCCCCGCTTCTTCGTTCCCCTCGCCTCCGTCACCCTCCACCGTCTCGCACCCATCCCCGCGTGCTCTCTCTCCTGCCTTTCCCATCTTCCCTCGCTCACCTCGCTCGCCGTCCTGGAAACATCCATCAAATCGGAAGATCAGTTTCGCTTCTCAGGCTTCTCTCGCCTGCACAGGCTCATGTTGGTCTGCCCAGACCTGCCGCATCTGAATCTCGGCACTCGCACTCGCTGTGCCTCGGGTGGTGCGCAGCAGCAGCCGTTGGAGAGGCTAAGGCAGCTGCACATCAGCCGTGTGAGCAACGCCCAGCTGCAAGACGTGGGCACGTTGGAGTGTCTGGAGGCCTTCTCCTGTACGTGCAGCAAGGGAGTGACTCCCAGTGGATGGGCACACCTGAGGAGCCTCACCCGGCTGACGAGACTGCAGGTGGCGCCAGAAAACCTGGAAGATCATCACCTGGACCTGCAGTTTTGCAGCTATTCTCTGCCAAATGTGTCCAGGGTTTGCGAGCGTCCCACTCCCAACAGCACGCGCGTTTGTGAGTGTGGCGCTGGGCTGTGTGAGTCCAAGTACCCATGCGTGGACGGCAGTGTGTGGCAGGTGGTGGGAGCGCTGCAGGGCTTGCAGCATCTCGGCATGCATGGAGTGGCACGTAGCAGCCAAGACCTGCTAGCCCTCACTGCTCTCTCACGCCTCACCTCTCTCCACATCACTGGCACCATCCTGAGTGACGGGGCGTACTTTGAGGGCTTTTCTCAGTTGAGGGAGCTAGGGCTGGCAGGATGCAGCGTGGATATAGATGCAGGCATGCTCATGTGGAGCCAATCCATGCCTCAGTTACAGTCCCTGGATATATCAGCCACACGAGTTAGTTGTAAGGGCGTGTCTCAGCTTTATTTGCTTAAGCGTTTGGTGCGCTTGAAGGTGCAGCAGTGCTGCAACCTGCATGCGGCGTTCCTGCGGCACCTGAGCCGAGTGCCGCAGCTGAAGCAGCTGGACATGGGCTTTAACAACGTGCAGCCGGGATGGCTGAAGCCCATACGGGATGGGTCGCACGTGGCCCGGGTGCGTGTGCGCGGCTGCGGGTGGAGCGCTAAGCAGGTTTGTGAGGTTCGACGGTCGTGGATTGAAGTAGAGAGGTGATGCTTCTGGGATGCATGGCATGTGGTGGGATGCATGGCATGTGGTGGGATGCATGGCATGTGGTGGGATGCATGGCATGTGATGGGATGCATGGCATGTGATGGGATGCGTGGCTGCATTGGAGTGCATGGCCTGGTGTGTGCAATATGCATGCACTGGGCATCTGGTGCACAGATCATGCAGCATGGACGGTGCAGGGCATGTGATGCATGGCATGCAGTGCAGGGCATGTGATGCATGGCATGTTGATCCATCTAGGCCCTCCTCTCTTCTGCTCCCTTGTCCCTTGAGCTTATTCTCTCCAACCAGCACCTTCAGCCCTAAGTGGTGGTAGTTTTTTTTTTCCTTTTAAGGTTTTTGTCAACAAGTGACAGTCATCCTTCTATTTATGTTCTTTGCAGTGCTATTTTCATCATGTAATACAAAGATTCTCGTGACCAGTCTGCACAAGATAATGAATTGCGAGCGTTTTAAATCAAAGGACAGGGCAAGTAAAGCCCCCCTAACTTACACTCAATACCTTTTATGAGGACAGGGTGGACTTGATAGTTGGGGGCGATGAAGATCTGGAAATCAACAGACCTGAATGTGATGCACACCTTTGTACAAGCGCAAATTCTAGTCCCAAATCAGAGATTGATGTCAGCCATATATATATATATATATATATATACATGAAACCATATGAAAGCATGATATACTGTCGTATCACATACCAGACTAGATGCAACCTGCCTGGACCACACTAGAACTCTATTCCACGCTCCCACACACACCCACGCACACAAAACGACACGCACCCACATACACAGAGACACACACATGTTCACTTAAACTGTGCAAACTCCTTGGTGAATCCTGCCTTGGTCTGGCAGGCAAATTCTAAACCCTGCAGGCATTTTATCGATGCAATCAAATCCGTTGATGCGCTTGAAACATCCTCGATTGCCTTTAAAGAACCTGATGTGGATGGAGCTGCAGCGGTCGTCCGCACCTACTTCGTACGTTTTGTCCCAAGGGCAGTCCCCTATGGTGTCCTCACTGGAAACCTGTATGCATGCCTGGAAGGGATCATGGGATCGTAAGATCGTGGGATAATGGGATCATGGGATCGTGGAATCATGGGATCGTGGGATCTTGGGATCGTGGGATCGTGGGATCGTGGAATCATGGGATCGTTGGATCGTGGGATCGTGGAATCATGGGATCGTGGGGTCATGGGATCGTGGGGTCATGGGATCGTGGGGTCATGGGATCGTGGGGTCATGGGATCGTGGGGTCATGGGATCGTGGGGTCATGGGATCGTGGGGTCATGGGATCGTGGGGTCATGGGGTCATGGAATGAGCTGTGTGCTGCACTCATAATGCGACCTGCTCTGCAACCAGCACATCAGGGCCATGCAGCAACACATCATGCCCCATGCAACGGCCAAGACAGGAATGCAGGTGAAGTGCAAACTCAGGCAATGTGAATAAACCGTCTTTTGATGTGCCTCATCAATCAATGGAAAAGAAGCATGTGCCTTCCAGTGCGGAAACGTGAAGCCTCTCTCATGTGCCCTCTCGTACCTCAAACCCCGTGTGCAGGTCCAGGGTCGTGTCTGGCACGAGGCGGTTGCACTTGATGCCGGGGTTGACTCGGAAGAAGTCAAGGCGAGAGAGAGGCGAGCGGGGCACTGTACGGATAGAGTCGCACGTCTCACCGCCCTGCACGAGATAGTACTGCGAGCACACCGGCAGCACCAGCCCTGAGCCTCCTGCACGTCGCTCCACACACACCGCCTGGTTGGGCTGCAGCTGGCCGCTGTTGAGGGAGCAGGAGAGCCCGGGGTTGAGGGCCTGAAAGGCTGACGCGCAGGCGGGGTCACCGTGGGGGCAGTTGTTGAGGCTGAAGTACTCTCCGATAGACTGGCATGTGTCGCCCTGGCGGATACAAGGTTATTTGGGGGTGGGGGTGGGGGTGGTGGTGGTGGTGGTGGTGGTGGTGGTGGTGGTGGTGGTGGTGGTGGTGGTGGTGGTGGTGGTGGTGGTGGTGGTGGATGGGAGCAGGAAGGTGGGAGAGGACAGGCAGGCAGGGAGACAAAGAGGCATACAATCAGGTGGTAAGCTCACGGTCGAGAATCAGAAGGCCTGAAGGGTGCTTGAGGGAACGGGGTTGGATGGGAGGTGAAGGGTTTAGTTAGTTGTCTGGGCAGTACGCACACATTGGCCTGGGCTGCCCTTGTTCTGCTGCACCTTGGGACAGCACAAGGCGTGCAAGGTCCATGGAACGAAACGACAAGGTTTGAGGTCTGAAGACGCTTCACAGCGGGCACCACTCACACAGGGAATGGCCTAGGAGAGTAGGGAATCACACCTTTGATGCAACGACTCAAGAAAGAGCAGTTGCACATACATAATGCATCAGATATGCACGTGAATGAGCCTGATAGGGGGGACGTGGAGCTGCAAAAGGGTGGCGGAGGAGCAAGTCGCATGAACACACCTCACACATTGGGGCTTGAGGTGCTCAACACACCTCAAACCCAAGGGGCTGAAAATCACAAATTGCTTCTTGAGTGTTGAATTTTTCTCTTGTGTTTTGTTTCTAGGCGCTAGGAAAACCAGGAACACACCTCTGCAGTGGTGTAGAAGACGGAGCAGGGAGCGATGCTGGGATTTGGAACGACAGAGAGCACCATGCCTACGCGCAGAGGGGAGTTGCAATCCACCTCCGGCTGCACACGCACAGCCAGTTGCCGGGTTTTGACGTGAGAAATTCAACAGAGCTGGTTGTTACATGTTTGATTGACTGGCTGAGAGAAGCAAGATGAAGGAAAAGGAAGCAGAGCACTTGCATGTGTTGAGTGGTCTACGCTGTGCTACAACACTGCAAAAGTAGCACCTTATTGGGGTGCTCCAAACTGGTGGCTATGCTGCCATTCTACCTGCCATGTGGCGGCGACAGCGGCAGCAGCGGCAGCGGCGGTGGCGGCAGCGGTGGCGGCGGCGGCGGCGGCGGCGGTGGCGGCGGCAGCAGCAGCAGCAGCAGCAGTATCCGCCCTGTCACTCACATTCAGCTGACGGAACTTGTTAAGCGAGATGCCGAAGGGTGGATGGATGTTTGAGCAGAAGAGGTTGCGAGCCATGACCGTGTACTGTGAGCTAGCGATTTCTGCACACACACATCCACACATGCACACATGCATGCAATATGTTGCACACACAGACCAGCCATGAGACAGAAGTCAAGACAAACGGACAGACAAGACACTGGACCGCACAGCACCCAGAGCACTGCAGCGTCCAGTGACTTTTGAGGCGGCCGCAAAACTTCTAGTGCTGCGTGCGCACGTGTTGCAGGGAGACCAGCAATGAGACGACAGCACCAGTCGGCAGAGCGTGAGTGAAAGGGAAAGAGAGAGAGACAGGCCAAAACACTGGAGGTCAAAAGAGAAGTGATGAGACAGAGATGGACAAACAGGCGAGTGAGAATGGTCGACGAGAAAATTTGCTTTCTCAGGGACAGGAGGAGGTACGTGGAACACAGGAAAAGGTAGCTGGAGCACAGGAGAAGGTGCCATCGACGGTGGTGCCCTGCCTGAAGCCCGGTGGACACACACACGAGTACGACCCCGCCCCGTCATTCACACACGTGCCCACTGCACATGGGTTGCGCTCGGCAACCTGGCATGCATCCTCTGGTGGTGGGGCAGGGAGGGCAGAAGGGGGCCGGGGGGAGGGAGGAGAGGGGTGGTGGGGTGGGGGAGGGGGAGAGCAGAGGGGAGGAAAGGGGAGGGATGAGAAAACATGGTGGCTGTGAGAGCAGGCACGCATAAAAATAATAATAATCATCAGGCAGGCGGCGGTGGAACTTGTGTTGCTAAATGGGGTTTCAACTGCCGAGGCTTACTGTAGGCGCATGTGCGAGAGCCATCGGCGTTGGTCGCTTGGACGAATAGTGGGTTGTTGCAGTCACACTCGTTTGTCTTGCCCTTCGGAATGCACTTGAACTGGCCGCAGGGATTGAAAAATGAGCCAGAGTTATCACCACGGGCGCCTTTGTTGCAGGGGTCATTGGAAGCTGCAGGTCGAAAGAGGGTGGGCAGGGAGGCAACGATTCAAGGCAGGTGAGTTTGCATGAGCAAGCAGTGCAGAGATGGGTACTGAGACATGCGTAGTTGGCAAGAGATTGTACAAGATAGAACTGTGTGTACAAAAGATTTCATGCAGCCCATGCACTCGCCATTAACCATGCAGTCTGCTCACCTTGGGGCCTTTGAGTCATGCTGGAAATCGGTTTCAAAACGTGAATTGGCAAGTAAGGAAATCCATGCTCTCACCTCTAACCATGCTCTCACCTCTAACCATGCGCTCACCTCTAACCATGCTCTCACCTCTAACCATGCGCTCACCTCTAACCATGCGCTCACCTCTAACCACGGGGTAGAGGCCTGGCAGCGAGTTGATGCCGCACACGCCATCCCCCCCCTGGATGTCCATGCGCATGTGGCCCCCATCGCCCCAGTCAGGCCCCCATGAGTTGCGGATGATCCAGAAGGGCGGCGCCATGTGGGGGAAGCGCGAGTCCTTGCCCACCAGGCGGTACCCCACCAGCAGCACCACGTGGTTCAGGTTGTACGTGAAGCACGCTGGGTCCTGGTACTTGGACAGCTGGGGGAAGGAAGGAATGGGTAAAGAGTGATTGCCAGGTTGCCATGTGCATCTGCAAGAAAGTCCTTAGTAGGAAAAGCGAGGGTTGGAAAGGACGTGAACCGGAGCAGTAGTTGCACCAGCGCATTCTTCACAAAACAGCATTGAAAGATGCACCACACCCCTTTGTTCTCTCCTGTCCCCATACAGCACATTACTCGCCTCACCCCATCGTATTCCTTGAACGTGTCGGCGGAAGCCTCAATGTGCACCACCACTGGCTGCCGCTGCACGGCCAGCAGCAGCCCAAACCAGCCGTAAAAAGAAGTAGACTCAAAGCCCCTGATGGGAAAGCTACCTCTGAGCTGCAGGGGAATGTTCAACACAGGGTATGGTATGGATGAGGATTCTACGCATGGATCTTCTGAAACAACATGTAGGCATTTGCGCATTCAGCGTTGAAGAATCAGAAACGGATTGTCTGAAAGGCAAAGCAGTACGCGGATGCTGTAATGTAATGTAAGCTTCCCCGAGTCCCACTACCTCACTCACATGTGCGCCCTTGCTACACGCCACACCAAACAGCTTCGCCAGTGGCTTCATAAGCGGCACGCAGAGAGGACTGATACTGGTACTGCCTGCCCTCGCAAGCTTCTTGCCTTTCTCGGCCGCCCCCTGGCTTTCCAGCACGAGCCCGCCTCCCTTGCGTGCGAGCTTGAGCAGCAGCTGGAAGGCCTGAGAGGGCGTGCTGCCAGAGCAGCCGACCTTCATGGCGGCCTTCAGCTGCTCCACTGACAGCACCGGCGCCGCTGCAGCGTTCCCCAGAATGCCGTATGCCGCCTCGACGCTGCCCACCACTGCGTACGCCCAGGAATCCCCTGTGAAGAAGCACGTAGAAAAGGTGCACAGCAAATGCGTTTGAGAGACAAGTGAACTGTTTAACAACACTGTTAAAAAGTAAGAGATTGATGACTCACAAGAGTTTAACATGCATACACACTGCAGAGCAAGAGAAGAACTAAACAGACAGAGGTGGGTATTTACGCAACCACCATGGGTCCGCGGTTTTATCCATTCACAAGGTAAACACAAATGTGGCTGCTCTGGATGGAATGACCAATCAGCCACCTGTCCTTGTGTTTCGGGGGTCCACCACAAAATGCTGGATTGGCACCTCATTTGTTGGGGCTCAACATAGATGTACACCCAAAACAGGGTACATGCCCAACTCACTATGCACCATACTTGGTATACGGACACATAACCCTAGGAAGCTATATGATACTTTAACAGTCAATTGCTCTCGCGTCTCTTCAAATCACAGTTTCAACATTAGGTCTTCATCACACATACGTAGTTACACTACATGCATTATGTGATGTAATCACCTATCATCACATACTGCCTGTTTCCCATGTTACCACCTTGGATGCATGGTGTGCGCATGTATAAGAATTTATGTTTGCTATGGCTTCTGACTTTGTGAGTGTGTGACCTTTGAATATTGCTTGAGCAAATTGAGAAGAACTTACTTTCGAGGATCTTACTGCAAAAAAAAAAAAAAAAAAAAAAAAAAAAAAAAAAAAAAAAAAAGAGCTATGAACGATTGCCATTTGTGCGTGCTTATGATATATTGTTGCGGCCGACTATAAGAATTTGTGGGGTGGTTTTATATGGAGTACGGACCAATAAGATTTAGAATAATTCGTCACTTTAATGTAGCTGCTGCCAAGTGGTTGCGAGAAAAAACTAATCAAGTTGCAAGTGTGGCCAACTAGGTTAAGAAGATGACAAAGGACAAAACTTAGTTCTTTTATGTGGATTTTGTGTGGCTATATGTCTCCCTGTTTGGGGACTTCCTATGGATGTTCCTTTTCGTCCTCCGTTCTCTCTCCCACCTGCTTTCTTGCCCCTCTTTGATTACTTATGTGGACCTTGGTTGAGGATTGAATAAAAGTTAAGTTTCGGCTACAGCATATCCCTATGCGACGAAATCAGTATCCCGAGAAAACACTTCACCTCTTGCTACGACTCAACTTGTGAATGCTAGACATAGTTGAGGGCTACGACCTATTATAAATTGGTGAATTTTGAACAAGTAGCCTTTCGTTGACAACGTATTATGTGAAGGCGCGGCCTTTGTCCATAATCCATCATGTGTTGTACAGCAGCGGCTTTTGTACGTGAGTCGCGTATTTTCCAACTTACGGCTGCAAGCAACAATTGAGCAAGCTAAGGATCAGCTCGTCCAGCCCAAACGATACTCAGAAAAAGCCGTGATCTGCTTGCTGGAGGACAACTTTCTGCCGACTACTAGTTGCGAACTGCTTGCCTGACTCGTCACTTCTTAGGTCATGCTTAATAAGTTAACACGAACACAAAGCAAGGCAGAGCAGGATAGGTCACGAGCCGAATATGTGGTTCGCCCTAGCATTGATCGGCCGTGTCGGTTCAACTCAAAGGACCGACGAGTTTATCATGGCCTCGAGCCTTGACCAGCGCGAAATGCCTAAGGGAAGAGAACACTCGCTTCCCTCTCATGAACACAAATGAAAACCCATGACAGAAAACATGAACAAACATGAACGGAACATAAACAATCATGAACGAACATGAAAACTCATGAACGCCCCGCGAATGACCATGAACACTAAAAAATTCACGCACAATCATGAAACAACACGAACACACACGAAGACTCGGAACTCCTCGCATGCACATACAAAACACACGCGAACAGTCACGAAAACTCATGAATGCAACCGCACACTAAAATGCACATAACTCATGAATGAACCGCTAAGGCGATTCACAAACCGTAAACGCCAAGATGAAAAGTACACAAATGCGCATTCCACAAGACACAAATTTCACCTTGCTCGACGAATAGGCGACAGGTTGACGTGCAAAATACATTTTGCACCCAACAGATCTTGACCGTGGCGAGCTAGCTAAGCCTATACTACAAGCATGCGTTAGTGCTAACCGAAAGTTTGCACTCATCCTGTTGTACTTGTGAGTGCGTGTGTGTTGACAAAGGAGGGCATGAGAGCATGAGATATCATTTTTCACATGATTTTACGAGTGTGTGAAAGAGGGGATTATGTGGAATGTGTGAATTGAGTCACTAACAAGTTTTCCCTAGTCGCGTGCCAAGTCGTCGTTTGCGCTTTCCGTTTTATCGTGTGTCGAACGTTTGACGGTTCGCAAGTGTGAGCAGCAAGTTTTCAAGAATCCAAGCAAGACTTGTGGTGAAGCTTCAAACCTCCAATTTCCTTTTCCCGAAAAAGTGTGAACACCTTGCACTGCGACATTAGTGGGTTTCCAGGGGTACTCACCACAAGCGGGTTGTGTTCTAACAGGCCAGGTGAAGTCAGGCCTAGCCCATGACCACGCAGGGCGAACGCCATATACATTGTTGCCATCCTCAGCAACAACATTGCCCGAGCTCGCATAGCGAAAGAAAGGATTGATCCCTGACAGAGAAAGCGCTGCCTCGCTGAAATTGAACCCCAAAGCTGCATCTGCAATCCGGGATAGGGTTTGTGGGTATCGAATGTTCAAGTCTTTAATTTAATTTAAAATCATGCATACAGCTATGTGGCAAAATTTAGACACGATACTAGGCGGGTAACCAGGATATTACGCGAATGTTCCGTGCATCGGGAACCGTCAGGAACAGAACCTTTGCTAATTTTCATAGAAAAAAGGCCGGTCAAAATCACGGGCACAAAAAGTCACGCGGCAATAAATTCCACAGAATTCGGTGTACGCAACCTAGCTCGGTGCTATAACTATAATAGATTTAGTAAAGCAACGATTCTAGCGAAACAAGCATAAGCAACAAGAAGAAAATGAGAATTAGCAATACTAAGCAAAGTAAAATAAATAGCCACTGTACTCTTACAGGGTGTACATGGTCGTCGACATAATGAGGACAACCACCGAGCACCCGACGCTAGTCGAGGGGGTGGGACCGAGGGGGTGGTCAAGTCAATTGTTTGCCTCAAAAGGAACAATCGTATTATGATGTCGTACCTGGTGTTGGCTGGACTGGAAAATCTGCAAAAAAAAAAAAAAAAAAGACAAAACAAAACAAGGAAAATGAAGTAAGAGGTGATTTAGTCATCGAAGGAACATCAAAGCAGCAAGCCACAAGTCACGTTACAGGAAGGCTGCAGGGGTGCACAGCACTCACAGGTGGGGAAGGACCAAGCGGAGACGACATGGCTCTGAGCTCGTGCGGCCGAGGCTGCAGTGAAGCCGATGGCAAAGGTGTACTCCGATGGGGAGGGGGCGAGCACTTCACACAGGGAGATGCGTGCCGAGAGGAGGGGGGTGGTGGGGCGAGGGGACGCCTGGGAGGAGAGGAAGACGCGCAGGGAGCCACTGGAGGAAGGGTCGTACTCGATCCACACGTGCTTGGGCTTGCCGTCATTGAGAGGGGTGCTGGGCTTGGCTGTGACCACCGACGTGACACTGCCACCGGTGTTGATGCCCACGTGGTTGCTGTCAGGGTCGCTATTGCCCGCATCCATCGACGTGTCAAACTCCACTGCCACGCTGCGCGCTCCCATCCCCGCATACCCCATGCCGCCCGCCACCGGTGTTGTGGGCGGGGTGGCATCAAAGGCCACCACAAAGGCAAAGCCTTTGGAAACAGAGGCAGCAGGGCGGGTGAGAGTGAAGGAGAAGGAGGAGGAGAAGGCGAGCTGGCGGCTGCAAGAGTCCCCGATGAGCTGGTAGGAGAAGAGCGGCACGCGCGCTGCCAGGAACACACTGCCAGCCTTGGACGGCTGGGCGGGCGTGAGAGTGAGCGTGGTTGTTGCAGCATTCAGGGTAACATCGCCACTGGTTGTGAGCGTGGCCGCTGTGGGGATCAACTCTTGCTCCATCTTACCACCTGAACGTGGGAAAGAGGGGATACCAACGGTTGGCGTACAAGAAAAAATTCAAAGAATCTCCTGGCAGGCAGTGACTAGGTATAGAAGTTATGAGTGTAGTCAAGAAAGGCAATTATGACATGGCATGCTTGGCAGCAGCACAAGGGGTGACAGAACATGACACGACCGCGCAGCTGCCAGGAAACTCCCCAACCATGAATTCACCGTCAGAGGTATGTGGGTGTGAAGCATGGCCTATGCGGTGAGAGAGATTAGATTGACTCACCTGCCACAGGCACGCAGCTGCAAGGGAACTCCCCAATCACGTAGTTATCGTCACAGAGGCATGTGGGCGTGTTGCTGGGGCCGTCCAAGAAGCACACGCCATGGCCGTTGCAGGGAGGGTCGGTGGGAGAGACACCGCAGAAGGCAGAGAACACGGCTTTATCCCTTTGAGTCTCGTCGGCACATGCCATGCCCTGTGCCGGTGCGGCCGCACAGTTGCTGCTGAAGGTGATGTAGCCTTGCCCGCAAGGCGGGGGGGAGGAGAACCCCTGAGTGAGGTAGTTGTGGTCCAGCTTGTACACCCTCACTGCTGGTGGCACCGGCTCCACCACCTTCCCTGTCAGCTGATTGTCCCTCAGGTTGCTGCCCATGCAGGTGGACGTAGGGATAGGGGAAGCACATGGAGAATGGATGGAAGGAGAGTGGAAAGATGGAGAATGGAAGTATGGAGAATGGAAGGATGGGGAATGGAAGGATGGGGAATGTAAGGATGGGGAATGGGAGGATGGGGAATGGGAGCAAGGTTCAAAAATACGGTTTTCGTAAATTACGGTCCGTTTTTTACGGTAAATTTCCAAAAATACGGCCGTTTTTTTGTTAGAAAACTCTTGTCACCAAGAAAAAAAAGGCAAAATCAGGGTCGGAAACATGTTCAATCATGCCCACAAATGCACAGATGCAAAGAGGGGTTCGTCATCTTCATTGTGGAGTTTTTCGCCATCATTTTGGACCCATAGAATGGCCGATTTTTTCTTTGAACGAATAACACCTTCTGGAACCGTTTCTTACCATTTTTTACGGTGGTTTTTTACGGTACTGTTCTTTACGGTATTTTTCCAGAAAAACGATCGTTTTTTTTTTTTACCTTGAATCGGAGGATGGGCAATAGAAGGATAGGGAGTCTTGAATTGACTCAAAGTAGATCGATGGAGAACAGAACCGAATGGGGGGAGCAGATGAGAAGGGAACAAATACACTTATCCGCATGACTGGAACCTAGAGGCACAAAGAAAAGAAGAAAAGAATCATCCTGTTGATTAGATGCATGATGGCAATGTGGGATTGGCAGGTTATGGGAACTTACAGAGCTTGTAGCTGGGCAAGATTAGAAAGCCCTTGTGGTATGGTGCCGGTTAGACGGTTTGAGCTCAGGTCCCTTTACGTAGCATAAGGGGAAGGGAGGCGGAAAAAGGCAAGAACAACCAAGTGTGTGGCGGAGACGATGTGTAAGGCACACACACATGTTCTGCTAGTGGCCTGTGCTAGTGGCCTGTGCTAGTAACATAAGCTAGTGGCCTGTGAGAGTGGCCTGTGCTAGTGGCAAGTTGGAGGGCCAGAGGGGGTGCTTTGCAACCCTGGAGGGCTAAATATGGAAGAGAATAGTTAGTCCCATATATAGGCCCTTCTTGCACTTGTCAGTACCTCAATATCTACATTATTGACAGGACCGTTCGAGAGAAAGAAAGCCCATCACCAAACCCATGTCCATAGAGGAAAAAGGTATGTGTTGGTGGCGACACACATGGAATGAAGTGTTACACTTAGAATTAGAATCAACGCACTTGGGGGGAAGGAGAGGCAAAGGCGGGACGGGGGAGAGGGCATGGAGATGGTTGGGGACAAAGCCAGACGACATCACAACAGTGTGAGCCTTACAGCAGTGTGAGGTTGATTAAGTTTGTTATATCGTCCGGTATCGTGCCAGTCATCTGGTTGTGGTTGAGATCACTGTTGAAGAGGAGGATGGGAATGGGATGCGGGAAGAAAGCCGGCAGCGTGTGTTGAAATGAGGTGTAGCAATCACTAAAAGAAGGGAGATGTGATGCAAGGCGGGACATATCAGTTGGTTGGAACAAATGTGCGCATGGGAGGAAGGTAAGGTATGTACAGGGAGCACCAAGTGGGTGTGACAACAAGCGCATTCGGTGAGTGAGGCATGACATGGCACTGCAGTGAGCACACGTGCACAGGGGGCGAAGCCAGCATGTGGGGCGGAGCTCACAATGTGCTCAGCCTGAAGAGGTTCCCGATGCTTGAAGGGATTCTTCCCGACAGCTGGTTGTAGCTGAGATCACTGAGGGACGGCAACGCAGCAGGAGTGATAGAGGGGATTCAAGGTGCACCGTATGCCCAAACGTGGGAACAACAAGGTATAAGAAAAAGCTGTTGCTATATCCAAGGACGGTTATTCAATGACGCTCATATCTGAAAAATAGACATACATATATATACATGTATATACATATGTGTGTATTCTGACTTGCAATTTGTAGAGGGGGTCGCGCTGGTTGAATGTGAAAGAGCCCAGGGGACGAGGAGGGCAAGGTGTGCATTGCAACTTGATTACTTGCTCAGACAGGCTTACTGTAGCTGTCATGCACCCATGCACCCATGCACCCATGCACCCATGCAACCTTGCAACCATGCAACCCACCAAACCATTCGCCCATGAACCCATGACCATCAACCCACGAACCCATGCACGCATGAACCCTTGTCCGATACCCTACCGCAATGCCATTAGCATAGCACTAGCGATAAGAAAGCGTACAGAGTAACCAGATTGGCAGCACTCCACCCATCCGGAATAGAACCATCAATCCTGTTGTTGTTCAAACGGCTGAAGTGGACAGAGCGGAAGGGGAGGCAGGGGTTGTTGCGGTGAGGAAGGGCAGAGAGAGAGAGAGTGAGAGACACGAGAGGCGAGAGGCGATACAAGAGAAAGGTGATGGGAGTAAGTAAGCAAAGTGCAGCACCCCGCTCGGTGCAGCTATGGCAGGATGTGGGAAGCGTGGCGTGAAAGTAAAAGCAAATGGAACGGAAGGAGCAAGAACCAATGAACGAGGAAAGCTTAGCAAGTGAGACGGTCAACGCAGAGAGGCGTGATTCAGCGGGCGGGATGGCTTTCATCAATTTCACATCACATGCATTATGCTGAGCCCTTCTGCTCATGCACCGCTTCCTGTGTATGATGCCCGCGTCCCTCCCCATAACCCACAACCCACACTCCATACCCCATGAGGCGACGCCCATGCTCCATCCTCCCCATGACTCACAGCACGTTCAATGAGACCATGGTGCCAATGTTGGAAGGGAGAGGCCCACTCAGGTTGTTTTTCTGCATCTCCCTGCCGCGCACGGCAGGGGTGCAGGGAAAAGGTGGAGGACAGGTGTGTGCAGAGGGCGAGAGGAAAAAAAAGGGCGGGAGAGGGATACTACAAGGGCCGACGGATGGAAGGAGGGGTGGAGGGGTCAAACAGAAAAAATAAACGAGGTTGATTGGGAAGGAATGACAGGCGGGGGATGGTTAATCGATTGCAGACAAGAACAAATCGCATGGCGTGCGGCTGGCCATTTGAACCGGGTGGTTCCATTCCAATGGACAAACCGGGCCTTACAGCACCGCTCCTGTTCTTACGGCCGGTGAGCCTCGATGGCTTGTGTGTGCTGAGCCTGAGTGAACACAACACAACGAGCCCACCAGGCTCGCCTACCCGGCTGGATCTGGGCGAGCCTTGCCGGGGCTCATCAACAACCCGTGAACCCTGAGTGGTAATTGCAGATTGCGGCCAATTTGGCAGCTTCCCCCTTGCATTTCAGTTCAAGGTCCCCTACAGCCCATTCCTACCACACTGAGGTTGCAAGTGCTGACTACGAGCCGGGAGAGGCTCGTAGCCGCCCAGGCTCGTAGCCGCCCAGGCTCGTAGCCGCCCAGGCTCGTAGCCGCCCAGGCTCGTAGCCGCCCAGGCTCGTAGCCGCCCAGGCTCGTAGCCGCCCAGGCTCGTAGCCGCCCAGGCTCGTAGCCGCCCAGGCTCGTAGCCGCCCAGGCTCGTGGCGCTCAGGCTCGTGGAGTTCTGGCTCGTAGCGCTCAAGGCACGGCGCATTAGGGATGAACATGGGCTGGATCCAAGCCCAGAGTTTTCCAATTTGCTTGGCCCGGTGCCAGCACAGTCCGGGCTTTTGAATCTCCATTTTCCTGAATTGCGCCAACGCGAGCTTGGGCCGTGCAAGTGCATGGATAGAGAGGCTCGTATGTGATTGAGAGGCGCACATGCGTTTGAGGGGCTCACACGAAACGGAGGTTCGTCATGGCTGTTATAGAGGCAGGAAGGAGGCCTGATATGAGATTGTTGTAGGCACGCCTGGGGTGATGGATGGCAGCACGGCAGGGGGCAACGCTGGCTGTGGGTCAATGAAAGAACGATGGTGAGAGAAGAATGATGATGGTGCGTAGTTGGATGCATAGTTGGATCCAGATGGGATGCGGAGGGAGCAGAAGGAGTGACATGCACTTGTCTCACTGGATATGAGCAGGACGAGAAGGATAGAAAGTTGAGAAACAGGCGTGTTTGGGTGGGGTGGTGGTCATAGGAAGCAGGCGAGCACAGCCACGCCAAGGCCATGAAGTGGGTGGGCCACACGTGAGGGGGGAATGGGACACGGGAGTGAAGAAGAGGCAGAGAGTGAGGGCAGGAGAAGAACGCACATGGTGACTAGTTTGGAGACATTGCCGAGCGCCTCTGGTAGACTTCCCTTTATACGGTTGTCATAAATCTCGCTGATGGAGGGACAACCAACAAAGCTTTCTTAACGAATAAATTCCAGAACAGCTTGGTGGTTCAGACGAGACTATCTATCCTTGAATGAGTGGTGTGGTGGTAAATATGAAGCCCATGGTGAGAATGAAACACATTGACAGACATGAGCACCAAGTCAATCTTTGATTTGCCTTATCTCCACTGCCTGAATTCGACCGCAGCTCGAGCCACGCAAGCCTGACTGAACATTTTGCTTGTTTTGCATCTTGGCATGAGTCGAACCTTCTCGACAAGCCATGGGCCGTGCTTGGCTCTAAGGGCAGCGGCTACATATGAGCATCGTACTGAACTGAACTAAGGCCTAACGCTAGGCTCGACATTTGCTTGTGCCTGTCCCAGTTTCTTGACTGGGCCGGGTCTAGGCTGATTCGTTATGGCAGACCGAACCTAAAAGGAGCATGGTTCGAGCAGGGACAAAGCGGTTCATCACGGGCTGAACTGAATACAAACAAATTATGCTTCTGCATCTGCAGCATTTTTGGCATTAATAGACCTTACGAGCCGTGCTTGTAAGGTCAGGGTTGACTTGTCCATCCTTACGAGCCTGCCTGTTGACCTGTGTAGTACCCTAACACCCTAGTGGTGTATCTCCACTCTCATTTAGTTTTAGAGCAAAGCAGATGGGGTGGATGGGATCGTGCATGGATGGACGGAGCATGTTCGCCCTGGGGTGGCGCAAGCGTGAGAATGGATAGCGCTGGTGAGCTTACAACGAGGTTAGCGCAGTTAGCTGGACGAAGGACGGTGGGAAAAGCCCGTCCAATTGGTTGCGCTGCAATCGCCTGACTTGAGGGAAGAGTGCAGTGAGGAAAGGAGACGTATGAGGATGTGAGACTCGGTACGGGTGGACGTTGTGTGTGGAGTAAAGGGAGGCATGTGCGAGTATGTTGGTGAGTACTAGTTGACGTGTTTGGCCTTGCAAGTTGCATGCAGGTGAGATGAGTTGAAGGGCGCTCTGCGACATGGACTCATGTGAGGAAGAGACTAAGACTTAGAGCACGGGGAAACAAACAACTGAACTACTTTAGAGAATAAAAAGGTGAAGGGAAATAGAAAATTGCGCAAGGAATGGAGGGCCATACAGTTGTTGCAGGGAAGTGAGAGCGCCGATGCCCTCAGGCAGGGGCCCAGTGAGCTGATTGTCACTGGCATTGCTGTGTGGTGGTGAAAGGCATGGAAGGCACGCAAGGCATGATAGAAGGTGAATGATTGTTAAAGGGTGAGTGAGGCACGGGAGATGCATGATAACAGCCACATGACCCTGCGACAATAACCAGGGACAATTTTTCCGCCGAGTGGAATGGCAGCCACAGGCACTTCCTCGTGCAAGTTGCAGCAACACGACCATAGAGCAAAGCAGATGTGTGATGGAATAGTGATCTCACAGTTCCTTGAGAGACACGAGGTTGGAGAAAGAGTCTGGCAGTGAACCCCATAGAGAGTTTTGGTTTATATAGCTGAGTGGGAAAGGAGGGGGCGTGGCGAGTGAGGGAAGGCATGAGAAAGGCGAATTAGAGAGGGAGGCACAGAGGGCGAGGGGATGTGTGTGAAGACAGGTCACAGGAGGATGAAAGGGATAGGGGATGATGGGCGTTCATAAGATGACTCTAGCGGCACAAGGCACAGCAGACATGGGCAATGAAATCATGCTACCACCCGCTTCACGATATGGGCCCACTCCGCTCACATCAGCTTTTGATTTGACTCAAAAGCAGAGTCATTACACGCGGTTTTGAGTCGACTCGAAATCTGTGAGCTTCATGTTACCGCCCCCTTAACCTTATGGACCCACTCCACTCATGGCTCGTATCATTAGCTCCCATTCATCCATACCCCCTCATAGCATCACCATTTCCCATCTCCATCGTACAAATGCCGTGAGCTTAAACTCGAGTATATATATCATTTATTTTCACCGACTCAGCTTAAAGTCGCCTCGACTCTACACTTTTGACGACTCAAGACCGACTCAACCTGATTCCACTCGACTCAGCTGGTACAAACGTCAGAGAGATGGGCAGTGGGGGGGACATGGAAGAAAAGTTGAGAGAGTACGTACAAGTAAACAAGGCGGCTGAAGACACCAATGGTCTCAGGAAGGGAGCCTGTTAGATATTTGCGTGATAAGTCTCTGATCCACACAGTGCCATGCATCCACACATAAGGGAAGTTCAGAGTGTGAGGTTGCAGGTTAGAAGGCCATGACTCGTTGAAACAGGCCAGAATAGAAACAAATAGACACCGATCCATTCATGCAAGTCATGCCTCGTTGGGCATGAGCAAATGGAGAACCTGAAAGGCTGGCCTCGAACGTGGTTGAAGCCCGAACCGAACATGTTCGGTTTGGGTCAAACATTTTCTAGCAACAAGGTGTTCAATGTCTGAGTATGGAGATTTGACTTGTTGTTCGGGCAAACATCGGTTTTCTATTTAGCATATGCTGCAGTGGGCATAGGAGTACGCTGGGATTGACAAGGTTGTACAAATTACTTTGTCGACCCTAAAAATACCCGAGTGATCCGGGTCGCGTGAATGTCGAGTCAAACATCCTAATGTTCGGCCGAGAATTGTTCAGCGCGGCTCCGCCAACCCTGGCTGAACCTAACGGGACTGTTCGACCGAAACAGAGGTTTGAACAGGGGTTCGAAATTCTGCTCATGCCTCGTGAAGTAAGTGCCTTGTGGTGTGAGTGCCTTGTGGTGTGAGTGCCTTGTGGTGTGAGAGCCTCGTGGGGTGCCTCATGGACTTGCACCTCATGGAAGGTGCGACACGCCCACACTCACGCCCACACTCACATGGACGTAACGAAGCCAAGGGAGTCGCATGAGACGCATCTGTACTTGTCGCAATCTCCGCCCTCCACCCAAGATGCCACGACATCT